GCATTGGGGTTGGCTGGTGTGTGGGGTGGTGGGCTCAGAGGCATCGTTTTGGAAGCTCAAATGCCACAGAGCTTAGTGGTGCCTCAGTGCACATGTGGAGCTGAGTACACACCAAAATACCCCCAAATTGTCTGTGCAGCCAGAGTGGGATTTTTGTAATTAGAGAAAAGTCTCGGGGCTTAAAGACACCCTTGCCAAGACGTGTGCATAGCATCTTTGGAGGTGGAAAGGACCCTTAAAGGCTACCTGGTCCAACTCCCCTGCAGCAAGCAGGGACACCCACAGCTCCATCAAGAGCTCACATCCTCCCTTATGGTGCTGCTCTGATGGGGACCATCATCACTCCCTCCTTGCTGTGTCCCCAGGCCATACCCCTCTGCACTGTGCTGTCCTGGCCCACAACACACTGCTGCGGGACCGGGGCCGCCTGGCACTGCCAGAACAGCAGACTGAAGAGCTGCAGCACCAGAGCTGGGAGCTGGAGACCTGTGTGCAGCAGCTGGTGCAGGCAGGAGCTTCCATCTACAGCCGGGTAGGAACTGCTTCTCCCCATCCCTCGGTTGTCCCTCTGCTGTTTGTTGGTATGAGGGGCGATTCTGCCTTAAGATGCTCTGTGGAAAGATTCTCACTTGGTTGTGTTTGTCTGCATTGAAATAGGATGTGAAAAGCAACAAGACAGTTCTTCATTACACCGTCCAGGATGGGAACATCTCCCTGCTCCGCTACTTCCTGGAGATGAATGGTTTCAAATCCAAGGACTTCATCAACAGCAAGGTGAGCCCAGACAGAGGCAGTGCAGATAGCCCTGCAGAAAGCACTGCCTCCCTCCCACACATGTTTTTTGAGCAGCAAAGAGGCACTCACATGGGACTTAGCCCTGGCTGAGCCCAGGCAGCAAGACAGATAATGGGGGAGAGAGGGATGTGGGAAATGATTTCCTGGGGAGGGATGGGAACTTTGTGACACCGGGCTGAAGTTTGAAAAAACAGCTCAGCAGTGATGTGATGCTTTGCTGTTGGCAGTGTTTGGGGCAGCTGTGTGTTGGTAACCTGCCCCAACAGTGCCCTGCACAGCGAGGGACAAAGCTCCAGTGCTAAATGCATGGAGTCAGGCACTGCTTACAGAGCTGAGCTGTTCTGTTTCTGTGGGCACAGCCATCCTGGATGAGCTGGGTGCTTTCCAGCACTGCTGCTGTCACCCACCTCCTGCCTGCCCCATGCTTCACCTCTGAGCAGACACAAAGCAGTGACACTATCTTGCATCTGCATCAGCTGCACCCATCCTCCCGAGCAGAGATCCTGACATTCCTGTGCGTGCTGAGCAATTGCCCTGCGCTGTCAGCCAGAGATCCCAGCAGCTGCCATCTCTGTGCAGGTCTGGGTAATGATTTGGGTGCTCCTGCACAGCTGAGCTGTTTGCTGGGGCACAAAATCCAACCAGTTGGGCTGGAGGATGGAAAAACATGTTTGGTTCAGTGTGTATGCATGGGCAATTACACTAGGTTTTTATTTTTCTTTTATTGCATTCTTTCTGTATCTTTTAAGAGCCATCAGGCACGTGCTATCTTGTCCAGGGGAGTCTGCTGTTGTCTCTTGATCACAATGCTGGGAGAGCTTCTTACTGCGATAGGATCGCTTGGAGCTTTGTTGGTGGGATGCCTGGGACAGGGAGAAAGGTAGTGGCAGGGTTGGCTGGTCCTATCTGGTCTTCCTACCTCTTCCAAGCACGACAAAGAGAAGAAAATGGAGATTTTTGTTTTGGTGTTTTGGCTTTCCTGGCTCACCCTTTGCTTGCTGCAAGTTGTCTCATTCTAAATTCAATCAGTTGTGGATTTGATGATGAGAAAACCATTGAAGGTTTTGAGGTATTTTTCATCTCACCGATCTCTAGACCCCAGATGTGCTCTGAAATAGTGGCTCACACAAGTCCCACTAAAGTCAATGGAGGGGCTTCAAGATCAAGCATTGCCAGCTGGCCTGGCCCTTATGGCCTTGTGCCTGGGTTTGGAAGCTATGAAGTGCCTCTGCCACCAAGATGCAGCAAACAAATGCAGATGCTTCCTTTTTAATGAGAATTCGTATAAAGACTTTATAAACTTTCTCTTGAGTTTATGGGATGGTAAAATTGACAAGTGTCTGCTTGTTCAGTGCTTGTAAAAATGCCTTGCCTAAGAATAGCTATTGAGATTTCCATTCTAATTTGCTGTTTTGTTTTGTGCTCGTGCTTCCAAGTCTCTTCTGCCTCGCTGGTAAAAAGGAGGTGAAAATCACACACAGATCCCTTTTCACAGCTGGAGTTGCGATGCGCGGTGCCATCTGTGCCCATCTTTCCCAACCTCATCAGAAACGTGCGATTGTTTCAGTGAGGAACAAACAGATACAGCTGCCACAACGAGACTTGGTGCCGACTAAAAATACCTCTCCCTGTGCATCTGCATGCTTGCTTCTCGCCGTGTCAAACCGTTACGGGTCATACCCCACTGGGCAGCGTTAGGGTTGCATGGGCAGGTGCCATGCCTTGTGCTGAGCCCCCCTGCTCAGGCTGTGGTGCATGGAGGGATGTGAGCTGCTGGAGCTCTGGCTCTCTGCACCCTTCTGCAGTGCCTTCCGGAGCACCTCTTGCTGAATGGGGAACATGGGGTAGGGATAAATACTCTCTTGGCTCTGGAGAAGAAATAGCGTGAGGTTTCTTGATCTCCAGAAAGGGGCACAGCCCTTCAGAGGGTTTTTCTTTATTTTTAGGCTCATGGAAACACAGCTCTGCACATGGCAGCTGCACTGCATGGTGACAAGAACCAGAAGGAAATCATTCAGTTGCTCCTTGACCACGGGGCAGACCCGAGCATCCGAAACTTAGACAACGACCAGCCGATCCACATGGCTCCTTCTGGGAAAGCTGGGGACCAGGTACGTGTTCCTGCTGCACCACTGCCCTCTGCCTTTAATGGAGGAAACAGAGAGGGCAGCCTTGGCAGCCTGGTCTGGTATTAAACGTGGAGGTTGGTGGTCCTGCATGTGGAGATTCATGATCTGTGAGGTCCGTTCCAACCCTGGCCATTCTGTGATTCTGTGAGGACGTTGTGTGCCAACGGTGTTGGCCAAGTTGGCATGGGGCTGAGCTTGCTGGGGGATCCCTACTTCAGCAAATCCAAAATGAAGGAGCACAAAGCAGGCTTTAGAATCAATGGATCGTTAAGGTTGGAAAAGACCTCTAAGATCATCAAGTCCTACCATCAACCCACTACTACCATGCCCACTGAACCACAGCTGTGCTATACCAATCTACAGCTGTTCCCTAAAGGCAGCGTGACTCAAGGGAAGATGAGGTTTCATGTCTATGGGTATGAAAGGGCTCCTGAAGCTCATTTTAGTCTCAGTGAGTTAGAATGTGTATTTAGTTACGCCTCTATGTGTATATAATGAGGGGTGTGTGTGTGTCTGTGTGTGTGTGCATCTCTGTCCACATGTAGCTTGTGCATGTCACTCCCCACAGCTTCACGTGGTGCATTATAAACCTTTGCATTTTTTTTTGGCAGGTCAGGCATTTGCTGAAGAGAGGGAAAGTTGCATCAACATTCATTTCCTGCTGCCGAAATGCCAGATCCTAGGTTGCCTGCAGCTTCTGGAATGGCTTCAACTTCAGCCAATGGCACAAAGCCCCATAGAACAACCATGAGGATGGTTAACCAGCGTGTCTCTGCCCCCAGAATCCATACACTGGGGTGGGATGGCAGTGTTTCTCAACCTGTGGCCTTTGGACCATGAGTAGCATGGGAGATATCAAGAGATAAGCTCTGAGATGGTAGAGAAGCTTATTTTGTCAACAGGGAATGCTAATAATCCCGTGACACAAATTAGCAAACATTTCACATGCAGCCAAGCTTTGATTTGGTGGCAAAGGGCAGCCGGAACACAAGATGGTCCTTGGTAGCAATGGTTGAGAAATACTGCTCGAAGCCATGCTCACATCCCTCTCTGTGCAGGGGCACTGGGTGAAACGCTGAAGCCTTTGTGATGTGCAATGAGCTCGACTGTCCTTGGGATGCACAAACCTGGGGGGGAGGAGGGGGGAGAGAAAGACTGGACCAAAGAGGTCACAACAAGACTGCAGAGTTTCCAGGGGCACGGCTGAGCTGAAGACCTCCAAGGGAGGGTTCCTGCAAGCTGCTGCTGTCCCTGCTCTTAGCACTTTGAGGAAGGGAGCTGAATCAGCTCTCCGTTGCCCCATCCCTCACCCCAACCCATGAAAGGAGAGCAGATGCTCGTGAGAGCAAGTGCGTGGCGCGGGTTCTCTCCGATCCTCATCCCATGTTAAGAAGTTCTTATCCTTTCTGTGAAATGATTTGTGAATTGCTGTGCAATCAGCTGGCAGCGTGTGGGGCAGGAGGAGTGAAGGCAGGTGCCTGCAGGGGTGAGAGCTCTGCTGTGACAGCCAACACAGAGGTTCTCATCTCCAGTGCACACCCTGAATGTTGTTCTCTCAGTCTTGCAGAAGTTATTTTCTCCCATTGGGACTGAACTGATTAAGGTGAAGGGCGAATCTCTTAAATCACCCTTGTGACTTCCTCCATTGACTCAATGCAGCAGGGCTTTGTTAAGCGCTTGTGAGCCTTGCAAACCCTTCAACGACTGTTTTGCAGATCCAAACAAAAGCTCTTAAGAAATGCAGGAAACCTGATTAGAGACCTTCTGACTTCCTCATCCCTCCTCTTTGCTGGTTGGCTACTGCTTCTCACTACGTCATGCCTACAAACCTGCCCGCGCCCTCTGACAAAAAAAAGCAGACGCGTATTTGCATGTGTTTGCATAAATTTGCATGTATCTGGGCACGGGCCGGCTCAAGCATGTGCTTCCTTGCTTTGATGGGATGCTGTAACGAGACCCAAATGAGTGAGAACTGCATTGACGAGGAAAAGTGGTCAATAAATTCTCTTTCTCGACCTTGAGACGATCCCTCCCGTGGCTCAGCAATGATCCCTGTGCCAAAACGAATTTCATCCCTTTGAGTCGGGTCGCAGCGTCCCCGCTTTTTGCAGCTGTTTTGAGGAGGAATGTCCCTTTTATAACATCAGCAGCGCTGGCAGTGCGTAATACCCCTTGTTTGCACACTTTATCTCTTCCTACCCGTGGCTTCAGATAAGTCACAGAGAACAAAAGCTCGTTAGCACTGAACAAACGCTTCCAAGTGGCACCATGGAAAAGCCATTGGGCGGCTGGCAAGCAAAGCTTTTTGATCAGATCCTCTGAGCAACCGGTTAAAATAAGAGCCCTTTATTTTCTCTCTAACTGCAGGCTGCTGCTGGAGCTATTCGCGGCTCAGAGTGGGGAGATCCTCATTTCTGAGTGCCCACGTGTTTATTCCACCTGGCATGGACTGGCATTTGGTCGCGCTGTGCCAGTTCTGTTAGAGATACGGCATGAGCTATTTTCATGTAATCAGCTTTTACAAGGAAGGAAAGCAGGGAAATAACATGCTTCTCCCAGCCAGAAAATCCACAGTCTGCCTTTGAATGGTTCTCCTCTGTTGTTTTTTCCTTCCAGTTCACAATCAGCCCAGGAATCCTTGTGTCAACAAGGGGCAAGCTTCGGCTTGCACTGCACGTGTGGGGCTATTGACACAGCACTGGGGATTGGTGTCTGCACCCCCCCTTGTATGGGGGACTATAGAACAGCATGAAGAAGTGCAGCAGGGAAATGGGAAATTGCTGCCAGGGATGGAGAGTGACTTAGTTAACAGATGGGGATAGTGTCAGCCTTGCTGTGCTAATGTGGGTGCTCTCCTTGTTGTCTGCTTGCAACCCATTTGCACATGTTCTTTCCTTTGCTGCACAAGAACACCCTCTGGTAGCTCTGCTAAGCTCAGGCTAATGCAGCCAGCCCACGGAGAGGATGTGCTCATCCCATTTCCACCAGCAGCCTCAAACATCTCTCCTCAACCTTATCCTCCCATGGCTGTTTAATGTTGGTGAGGATGGACTTCAAAGTATGAGGCATCGAGGAGCTCAGCAGCGTTGGGGCAGGAGGTGAGCATACCCCCATAGAGAACAAAGCACCTCCAGCACCACTAAATGACACGTGTTGGAGCATCACAGAGGTGATGGCACATTTATCTGCAGCAGCAGCACAGCTGCTGACTCCTATTTATAACAGGCTTAGTGCTTGGGCTGGCTCTGAGCACTGGAACAGGTTGCCCAAGGAGGCTGTGGATGCCCCATCCCTGCAGGCATTCAAGGCCAGGCTGGATGTGGCTCTGGGCAGCCTGGGCTGCTGGTTGGTGACCCTGCACACAGCAGGGGGTGGAAACTGGATGTCACTGTGGTCCTTTTCAACCCAGGCCATTCTATGACTCTGAGGTTAACCAGGTGAAAACAGGGAAGAGAGGAAAGCATCGCTGAAGGTTGTGGTGAAGGTGGAGCAATATTGGTTGGGTTTGTTGGTTGGTTTGGTTTTTTTTTGGTAGAATGGAGGAAGTTCCCTATCTGTCAGCAGTACACGTGTTGCATCCGTTTGAGTGCCTCCAGCTCTGGGCAGAGGGAAGGTGTTCAGTTGCAAGAGCCACCAGAGAACATTACTGTGGCAGCTGAAGAGCTGGAGGTGTGCTGGGGGTTGAGGACTTCTTCCCCACCTTTGTGAGCCTGAGTGAGTAATGAGGATCATTAGCCAAAGAGAAAGTTGCTGGCATTCAGCACACAAGTAATGGGCACTGTGAGTACCAAATTATTTATTTCTGACACAAAGAGCTGGTGTTGATGACATGGGTTTGGTAAGGCAGCTGGGGGGGGGGGGGTTCCTTAAAAACAAAACCAGGAAATAAAATAAAGACCAAATAAAAAAAGCTACCCCCGACCACAGAAAACAGGAGGATGAATGTAGTGACAACACCATGTGTGAGTAGTGATGAGTACATTGGAGGCAGTGCAACCGTATGCAGTTCCCAGGCGACGATGCCAACAAGAAGGCAGCGTGCAGCCCCTCCCCATTAGCTGTAACAGATGTCCCAGCTCCTGTCCCTCCTGAAGAAGTCATCACTGGGTGGCAGGCAGCCCGAGCAGTCCGTGCCAGGGCAGGGGAAACGCTGTGGGACCTTGGGGTCGGTGTGTGGGGGGCTGCAGGCAGCACAGCAGCAGGCGAGGGGTGTGTAGGGGGATGGGGGGTGGCAGGGCCAGCCCTCTGCTGGGCAGCCATAGGGCGTGGGGTCCAGGGCAGGAGGTGGGCTGTGGGTCAGGGGGGTGAATGGGGGCAGCTGGGGAGCAGGGCAGCCGTGGGGCAGCGCGTTGGGCAGATCAGCTGGGCTCGGGGATGCTGCAGCCTGCAAGGGAGAGAAATGAGAGATGCTTTTGGTTTGGAGTGTTGTCTTGGGGATGCAGCAGGACAGCTGGGATTGCTGCACTGCTGTCCACTCAGAGGGTCTGGCTGCACAGAAGGTGTGTTGGCCTTTGGAGGACGTTTCAGCTCGGAGAGGGTTGATATTTTCCATACTGTCTTGTGTGATGCTATGTTTTGGCTTTAGGAGAAAAACAACACTGATAACACACCCATGTTTCTAGCTGTTCCTCAGTATTGATGCACAGAGCCAAGGACATTTCAGCTTCTCATGCTGTCTTGCTAGCGAGGGGCACAAGGATTTGGGAGAGGACAGAACCAAGACAGACAACCTAAGCTGGCCATATGGATATTCCATCCCATGTGGCATCATCACAACAGCAGACTAAACCCAAGAGGCTATTCCAGTTCTATGAGCACTAACAGAGACTCCCTCTGAGCCCTATGGGATCTCCATGCAGAGCACCATCTATGTTACGATGTCTGCATTCCTGAAGCACCCCCGTTCCCAAATCAGCTCTCTGCTGCTTTGCCCCATGCTGTGACCCCATCCCCAGCAACCCTTGGAGCGCACAGTGCTTACCAAGCCCTGGTTGAAGCAGAGAGGGACTGGCTGGAAGGAATCAGGGATGTAATGTGATGGTGTCTGCAGAGTGCCCAGCGATGGCTCGAAGGCTGCCTCCGCCTGCAGGTAGGAGTCCACCAGCTGCTCCAGGTGGCTGGGGCTCTCCTCGCAGGAGAGGCAGTTTGAGAACTGCCTTGATGGGCAATAGTTGGGAGCTGAAGAGATGGGTTCTGCATCAAAAGGTGCTGGGGGAGAAGGTAAAGCAAGAAGCAGTGCGTTATTCAGTATCTCACAAAGGGCAGTGTGTGCAGGTGCAAGTAGAAGTGTGTAGCTGGATGGGGGAAGGAGTGAGAAGTACCCAAAGTGCATTAACAGATGGAGATTTACCATCCTGAAAGACCTTGAGTACATCTCATGTTTCTGTATTAACATAAGCAAATTGATTCCTAAATATTGATGATTTAATCATTTCCTTGTCCACACAATGTATATATTCACACCTGCCCAACCCTTGAGGTCTCTTTGCTTTGGCTGCAGAACGCTCGAAGGACCTGAAAGCCCCGAATGCCCTTCCCCCTTTCCTTGGATATCCACTGAGATGGGGAAGGAGCTGAAAATCTGACACTCCTCTCACTGCTGCAGGGGCTGCCAGCAGAGCAAGAACAGCCAACAGTGCACACTGCTCCCAACCCATGGGCTGCAGCCCAGGGACAGCAGTGCTCTCTGGGGCTGAGCATCCCTTGGGGAAGGGGCTCTGCCTTCCTGCAGTGGGAAGCTGCCCAAGCAGAGCATTGGATGGTGCTCCTGCAGAGGGGAATATGTTCCCTGTTGGCCTCTAGGCATCCTCATCTGCATTCCATGGGCTCCATTCAGGTGCTGATTGGCTGCACTGCTGGCTCTCTGCCTTAACCAAGGGCTGGAAGGACGCTGGGCTGTGGGAATGGTTGGGAAGGGACACTTGGGTGGGCTTTGTACCAACCTGGGTGAGGAGGAGACACAGATTCTGCAAACTGGATGCTGCTGCTGCCCCAGGAAACCTGGCAAAGAGAAGGGGAGAGGAGGGTCTGGAGGTGCTGTAATGCAGGAGTGTCTTTCTGCACACCGAGGTAAGTCATTTTGCTTCAAGCTATTCATGTAAACCTCATTTATCTCAGGGCTGAGGCACTGTAAGCCTCTCTGGAACTGACAGGGCAACATTCTCAACCTGAGCTTGCGTAGATAACGGGGCTGGAGGAGCACAGCACCAGCCTGGTGCAAAGCTGTCAATATAACACCATCAGCACGCTCTGCCTGCTGCCTTGCTGCTGTCACTGCAGCAGAGATGGGGCTGCCTTGCAAACCTCCCCATGTTGACATCTGTTCATTCCCAGGATTGTGGATCACCAGGAACTTGTAGGGATGGGTATGAATAAGAGCAAGCCATTTACAAGTGCAGCAATAGCTGCCTTGAAGCGTGACTAAAGGCATTCCAGGTGTCCCCACAGCCGGGCATCTCTGGATCACTGGGGCTGGTGCCAAAGCTGTTTGAGATACAGCATATCTGCCCCTAACACAGCTCTATGCCCCCATGGGAAAGGCTGGGATTCCCAAAGGATGCTGCAATCTGGAGTTGATGGGTCTGTGTTCCAGCAGCTTGGCTGGAGGGAGATATCTGCCCCAAAAGCAATGGGAGTGCTGATGCTTGTGCTCTGGGACTAGGATTTTACTCTGCAAATGCAAATCCTCTCCCCCCCTCTCAGCTGTAACTCACACAGACTTCCACTTCTTTTCCTCTATTCGAAATGCTGATAGCTCATTTTCCTGCTAACAGCTTCCTCCCCCCATGTGTTTAAATCATTATACAGTGGCTGCTTTGGTGCTGGTAGGACTGCCCCTCCTGGCTTTGGCTGCAGATGTGCACCATAGCAGAAGTCTTCAGATCCAGCTCACGCAGCAGCCGATCCCTCTAGGACAAGCAGGAATCCACAATGGGAACCTCCTGCCTTGTTGCCTGTTTGGCTTTTTCTTTTGTGGGTCAGAGCAGCACAGTGCCAGCTGGCACCAGGAAGGAAACCCAATTGCACACCGTGCTGAGGCTGCATGGGAGCAGAGACCCCCTATTCCCAAAGCCCAGCAGCTCTGTGCTCTGCTGGCCCCGGCTGCTCCACCTGGCTTCCAGCCTTGTGCAATCAGCTGCCATCAGGTGCAGGGAGATGAGATCTGAGAGCCATGCCAAGGTGTGGAGTCACGAACCGGGAAGCAGGAATGATTTATTGACCTTTTCATGCAAATTCCCAGTGCTGCTGGAGCTGGAGGGCTCTCACATAGATGGGGAGCGTTTGCGTGCATGCAGGTGAACCCACCTCCTTCCTTCCCCTCTCTGAGAAGGGACAGAGCTCAGGTTGTGCTGGATAACACAAGAGACCCGGATTCCCATATTCCCAAACCCTGCATGGTTTCAGCATGGCACACCTTTAGCCCTGGCTGCATTGGGCAGCGTGCCATGGACACTTCCTCCACCTGCACAAGGCTCAGCCCAGCACCGGTTTGCACCACTGCTGCGGTCCTGGCTGAGTTTCCTTCTTCCCTATCACCCTGCCGTGCTCAAACCCCACGTCACATAGGTTACAACCTTGGCAAAAACATTAAATAAATGATGAAGGGAGAAGGTACACAGCAGACACCAAGTGGTTCACTCACCGCCGCGCCGGTTGCTGCTTGTCGTGCCCTTCTCTGCTGCAGCAACTCCTTAACAGTGATCTTTACTCTGACACCTTGGTACACTTTGGGCTTTCCTGAAAGAAAGGATGGAAAAACTCTTCTCAGGATGGGAGACTTTTTGGGAGCACGTGGCATATTTCCAGGCACCCCCTGCTTAGAGCTAACAGATGGTTCATTGCTCTCTCTAAGTGACTTGCAGTGGCAATTCTTTCACACCTGCTAATCAAGCTTGTGACAAGCAGGTATTTATGAGAAAAAAAAAACAAAAACAAAAAACAACAGTTGTTGATCATACATATTAATCATATAGGTTTTATTCTTTGGTATCTCTATTTTTCCCTCCAGGTGACCTAACAGCTCCATCTGGTACTGCTGCTGCATCCATTTAAATCCCCCTCATATTTGCTGCTCCCAGGACCTGAAAACAGAAGTGGGAACTGCTTTGTCTGGCAGATGAAGGGCAGGAATCAAACAATACAAATACGTGGGCGGTTGTTCAGAGGGTTAAATAAAACACATATAAAATGCCTGCTTTCGTGCCTTTTTTTTTTTTTTTTTGCAAAGCCTGGATTGTCTCTTTGATTCACTCATTCTGTGCAACTCCCATTGCCTTCA